GCGCTCTACATGCTCTACATCTGCAAAAACTCTTTTTTTTCTGCAAGGAAAAGAAATCGCGGACTATCCTTGCTCGAAGGCTTCCGGCGCGCCGCATTGTTGCGCCCGGCAGCTGCGGGGATACCGTATGGGCTCGCCACCCGAGCCTCACGACAAGATCTCCTACGTGACCGACATCGAGGGAAACTGGGAGTTTTTCGTCCGCTTCATCGACCTCTCCGAGGCGCTGAGCCTCATCGCGCTGCCGGCGCACGGCTCGCCCGCGGCGCAGGTGGACCTGCAGGATGGCTGGCAGCTGGTGGTGGGAGGCGATTGCTGCGACAAGGGCGGCGCCGTCGGCGGCTCCATCCGCGTCGTATCGACCCTCGTCGAGCTCAAGCGGCGCTATCCGACTCGAGTGACGCTCATCCTCGGCAACCGAGACGGCGCGGCACCTGCCCGCTGCCCCGACCGCCTCGTCCGTCGCTCGCATCTGCCCGCCGCCTCTGCTGCCCACCGCCTCTCTCTCCCTCTCCCTCTCCCTCTCCGCCCTTCTCCCGCCCTCTCCCCTGCCCGCGTTTGGCCGCCGCTCGGGCTCCAACACTGTCCGCCCCCGCCGCCCCCGCCGCCAACAGTCAACAAAATGAGGATGACGTCGGAGCTGTCGGAGGGGCAGCTGGCGCACGAGCGGCTGTCCACCATCCCGGGCCCGTACTGGGTCCCCGAGTCCAAGCGCGTCGCTCCCTGCGCCTTTCTTCGCGCGACTGCGGCGCAGCGGCTGGGCGCCGGGCTCGCCGGCGTGCGCCCCTTCTTTTTAGCGCGGCGTGCTTCTTGTTCAGGCGCAGCAGCTGGGCCGCGCGGGCCTCGCCGCGTCGCTCTCTGTCGCGGAGCTCGCCTCGGGGTACAACACGCTGCCCAACCGGCTCCGCTGGATGCTAAAGGAGACGATGGGCGCCGACGGCGAGTTTGAGCGCCGGCGGGCGGAGCTAGAATCAGAAGACGTGCTCTTAGCCTCCCAACCGGCGCTCGGGAGGGGGCGTATTCGGCTGTGTTCAGCCGTAGACCCGCCGGTTGGCGTACTCACCTAGGCGGGCGGAGATTGCGCTGCTGCGAGGCTCTGACGCCGAGCACGCTTTGGCGGTCCGCAAGGCGGCGGAGAGTTCCGAGAGCGAGGCGCGCGACGGGCGGCGCCCTCGGCCTTCAAGCCGCGCCGAGGCGGCGCTGGGTGTGACTGACGCCGAGGTGTGCGAGTCGTTTGTGTCGTCCGTTGCGCCGGGCGGCTTCATGCGCGGCCTGCTCGACGCGGGCCAGCTCGCGTGCATCATCGGCTCGACACTCTTTTTGCACGGCGGCGTCCAGTCGCGCGGAGGCTGCGCACTTGGGCGTGTGCCAGGCCGCGAGGGCGAGGTGCAATCTCCGCGCGAGTGGGCCGACGCTCTCAACGCGTGGTACGCCGAGAGAGAGAGAGAGAGAGAGAGAGAGAGAGAGAGAGAGAGAGAGTGAGAGAGAGAGAGAGAGAGAGAGCCGAGAGAGAGCCGAGAGAGAGGGAGAGGGAGAGAGGGAGGGGGGGAGGGGGAGGGAGGGAGAGAGAGAGAGAGAGGGAGGGAGGGAGGGAGAGAGAGAGAGAGAGAGAGAGAGAGAGAGAGAGAGAGAGAGAGAGAGAGAGAGAGAGAGAGAGAGAGAGAGAGCCGGGGTGCGTCGTGCCAGAGGTAAGCAAGCTCGCTCCGTGCCCAGGTACGCCGAGCAGCGTGCAGACTGGCACGCTCGCCCCGGCTGGGAGGACGAGAGCCTAGGGCCGAGCTTCGCCGCCGACAAGACGGCGCAGGGTTGGGCGAGCTTGCGCGGCGGGCACGCGCTGATGGACTACGTCGTGCCCGGCTCCACCCCGACGGTCCGAGAGATTGCCGAGAGACCGCCGAGAGATTGCCGAGAGATTGCCGAGAGATTGCCGAGAGATTGCCGAGAGATTGCCGAGAGACCGCCGAGAGATTGCCGAGAGATTGCCGAGAGATTGCCGAGAGATTGCCGAGAGATTGCCGAGAGATTGCCGAGAGATTGCCGAGAGATTGCCGAGAGAGTTCGCCGAGAGACCGCCGAGATGACTCGAACCTTAGAGATGCAGTACGCAGCCTGAATCAATTGACTAGGTCGTGCTGGCCAAGCACCTGACTACCGGGGGCATGCCGCAGCCGCTCGACGAGGAGCTGACCAGGCGAGAGACAGCCGAGACGCTGCCGAGATGCAGCCGAGATCGAGACTGTCGAGACGGCGGTCCGGCCCGTCGGCGCCTCATCGACGCGCGCCTCTGCCGGCTGCCTCTCGGCTGCCTCTCGGCTGTATCTCGGCTGCCTCGCGCCTAGGCGCCTCAACGAGTCGGGCATCTACCGGCTGGTGGTCGGCCACACGCCGCACGGCGCTTGTCCCACCGTGATCCGACGCCCCTTCCAAGGAACTGTCTAGGAACCTTCTAGGAACCTTCTAGGCGCGTGTCCCACCGTGATCCGATGCCCCGCCGCGCCGCCACACCCGCCGCGGCCCTCAAAGACGAACAGCGGCAACGGAGGCGGAGGCGGAGGCGGAGGCGGAGGCGGCGGAGGAGGCAGCAGCGGCAGCAGCAGCAGCAACCTGTATCTCGACCGCTGTTCGTCCGAGAACACCGAGGACCGCCGGGCGCGCCTCGCGAGGTTACCCCGCCGCCCCTCTCTGCTGGCGGGGGTGCACGGGGGCGGGTCGACCCCGCGCCGCAGCCCGTCCAAGGAGGTGCGGACGGCCGGCTCGGGGTGTACCGCGGCCGACGCGCCACTGAGCTGGCGAGGCGCGTGCGTGTGTAGGAGGGCGGCGGCCCCTGCCTCGAGATCATCATGGCCGACACGTCGTACTCGGACATGAAGGCCGCCGACAACCGAGGCGCGTCGAGACCGCGCGAGATCGCGCGAGATCACGCGAGACCGCGCGAGAGCACGCGAGATCGCGCGAGATCACGCGAGATCACGCGAGACCGCGCGAGAGCACGCGAGATCACGCGAGATCGCGCGAGATCACGCGAGATCGTGCGGGACTCCTCTCTTGACGGCGGCCAGCCTGCCACACCAGGGACGGCCGTCTCCGAGGTGCAGCTGCGGCCGGACGGCTCCGCTCGCATCCACGGCTGGCTGAACCAGTCGAGGCGGCGGCTGCCCCTACCGACCCCGGGGCCGGAACCCCGCGCTGGATTCGACGGTCTCTGGAGGTGTGGGACTAGGCGGCTTGACTACGAGCTCGGCCCGGTCCGGCCCTTCTCGTACACGCCCGACTCGCTGCTCAAGCTCTCTCTCCCCGGCTCGCTGGGCCCTCGCCTGTCGATGGCAGCGGCGAAGCAGCGTAGAAGCCGGAATGTCTCCCCGCACCTCCCCGTACCTCCCCGTATCTCCCCGTATCTCCCCGTATCTCCCCGTATCTCCCCGTATCTCCCCGTACCTCCCTGTATCTCCCCGTATCTCCCCGTCCCTCCCCGTCCCTCCCCGTCCCTCCCCGTACCTGTACCGCCCCGCACTTCCCCGTACCTCCCCGTATCTCCCCGTATCTCCCCGTATCTCCCCGTATCTCCCCGTATCTCGGGCCCTAGAGGCGGGAGGCGGACTCTTGCCTTCCCTCCGAGAGTACACACCGATCCGGCTGCAGTCTGCCGGAGTCGTACCCCCCTTCGTACTCGCATGCACGCACAGCCCCGGGCGCCGAACTCGCACAGTGGCAGTCAGGCACGCAGCACGCACAGTCCCAGGCCCCTCGTACTCACGCGGTGCTCTGGGCCCTCCGCACACTCCCCCCCCCGCACCCCCGCCCCCTCCTGCCGGCGGCAGGTGAAGCAGTCGATCACACCGAAGGCGCCGCCCGATCTCCCCCCTCTCTTTGCACTTGCAATGGATCCT